ATTGTTGTTGAAATCTAACTTTAAACCATAGTGGTCTGATAGAACACAGGAGGTTATTCCAATTGTTTTGTATCTGTTGAGATTTGCTTTTTGGCCAAGTATGTGGTCGAATTTAGAGAAAGTTCCATGGGGTGATAAGAAGAAGGTATATTCTTTTTTGTTAGGATGGGATGTTCTGTAGATATTGATTAAGTCCATTTGAGTCATAACATCAGTTAAGCCCTTTATTTCTCTGTTAAGTTTCAATTTGGCATATCTGTCCAGTGGTGAAAGTGGGGTGTTGAAGTCTCCCACGACTAACATGTGGGGTTTTATATGTGATTTAAGCTTTAGTAATGTTTCATTTACACATGCAGGTGCCCTTTTGTTTGTGGTATAAATGTTCAGAATTGAAACTTCGTCTTGGTGGATCTTTCCTGTGATGAGTATGTAATGCCCTTCTTGAGCTCTTTTGATTGATTTTAGTTTGAAGTCTATTTTGCTGGATATTAGGATGTCTACACCTCCTTGCTTCTTAAGACCACTTGATTGGAAAGTCTTTCCCCAGCCTTTTATTCTTAGGTAGTGTCTATCTTTGAATTTGAGGTGTGTTTCTTGTATGCAGCAGAAAGATGGGTCCTGCTTTCATATTCGTTCTGTTACCCTGTGTCTTTTTATAGGTGAATTAAGTCCATTGATATTAGAGAATATTACTGACCAGTGGTTGTTCATTCTTGTTATTTTTGGGTGGTAGAGAGTGTGTGTACTTCTCTTCTTTGGGGTTTACTGCTGTGGTGTTATCTATTGTCTGTGTTTTCAAGGTTGCACCTGACTTCCTCAGGTTGGAATTTTCCTTCTAGTGCTTTCTGTAGGGCTGGGTTTGTGGGTAAGTATTATTTAAATCTGACTTTGACTTGGAGTGTCTTGTTCACTCTATCTATGATGATCAAATTTTTGCTGGGTATATTAGTCTAGGCTGGCATCCAAGGTCTTTTATTGCCTGCATTACATCTGTCTAGGTCATTCTGGCTTTCAAAGTCTCCATTGAGAAATTTGGTGTTATTCTGATGGGTTTGCCTTTATAAGTCACTTGGCCTTTTTCCTTTGCCGCTCTTAATATGCTTTCTTTATTGTGTACATTTAGTTGTTTAATTATTATGTGGTGAGGGGACTCTTGTGAGAGTCTAGTCTGTTTGGTGTTCTATAGGCTTCTTGTATCTTCACAGGCATTTCCTTCTTTAAGTTGGGAAAGTTTTCTTCTATGATCTTGTTGAATATATTTTCTGTGCCTTTGAGTTGGTATTCTTCTCCTTCCTCTATCCCTATTATTCATACTTTTGGTCTTTTCGTGGTATTCCAAATTTCTTGGAAATTTAGGTCATGACTTTTTTGGCTTTAGTGTTTTCTTTGAGTGATGGATCTATTTCTTCTACCATAACTTCAATGCCAGAGATCCTTTCTTCCATCTCTTGCATTCTGTTGGTTATACTTGTATCTGAAGTTCCTGTTTGTTTACTCAGATTTTCTATTTCCAGCATTCCCTCTGTTTGTGTCTTCTTCATTTTTTCTGTTTCTCTTTTCAGGTCTTGGACTGTTTCCTTCATCTGTTTCATTGCTTTTTCATGATTTTCTTTCAGGGATTTATTGTTTTCTTCTGCTTTATTTGTCTTTTCCTCTAGCTTTTTTTATAGTGTTCCACCCATTTTTTGTTTGTCTTTTCCTCAATTTTATTTGTGATTCCTTCTATATAAGCATCTACCTTGTTCATGATGTTATTTATAAGGCTGTTTTCTTCTGCTTCTTCCAATTTTTGATGTTCAGGTCTAGATGTTGGAGGAGGGCTAGGTTCTAGTGATGCTGTATTGCTCTTTATTTTGTCGTATGTACTTCTGTCTTAATGTCTGCCCATCTCCTTGTAGATTTGTTCTTGGTCTTATCAGTGCTCTTGGTCCAGACAGAGCTGACAGACTCAGGAAGCCTCTCTCTCTGTTCCAGATGGATGCTCTGGGCCAGGTGGGAGCTGGAGGCTGGTCTCTGAGTCTCAGGAAGTGGCTGTGGTCTAGGGTGGATGGTGTGGAGGCAGCGAGTGGAGATTGCAAGGCCTGCCAGGGGGCTTCAAAAATGGGGAACCTTCCCACGGGGCCTGCCTGATGGCAAGAAACTGGGGCCTGGTTGGGTAGGTCTTCCAGGAAATGGCTGGTGCCCAGGGATAGGACCTAATGGCAGGCCTCCCTGGGTATGACCCCAGGCACTCCCCTCTGGTCCAAATGTAAGTTCAGGGCCAGATGGGAGCTGGGGGCTAGTCTCTGAGTCTCAGGAAGTGGAGGGGATCTCAGGGGGATGGGTGTGGGGGCAGGACATGGAGATTGCAGGGTCTGCCGAGGGGCAGTCTTTGAGAAGGGTAACCTTGGGGGTGTCCCACCTGATGGCCTGAATCTGGGGCCAAGTTGGGTAGGTCTTCTCCAGAATGGCTGGTGAACAGCGATGGGACCTAGGGGCAGGCCTCCCTGGGTATGACCCCAGGCACTTACTTCTGGTCCACATGGGAGTTCAGGGCTGGATGGGAGCTGGGGACTGGCCTCTAAGTACCAGCAAGGCATTTTCATATATTCTTGGTTTTGGTTAATTTTATCACTCATCCTCTCAGCCCATCTTCATGTTGACCCACTCAATCTTATATTCCCTCCCTTCATATTCATACCAGAGGTTTTCTGTAATTTCTCTCTCTTTAAGATCTATTTTTTCATGTTCCAAAATTGCACCCCACAGATTGGAAAAAGATTTTCAACAACTCTGAGTCTGACATAGTGTTAATATCCAAAATATATAAAAGCACAAAACAAAAATCTAGACACCCACAAACCAAATAATCCCACTTATAAATAGTGTACAGATTTAAATAGAGAATTCTCAATAGAGGAAATCAAAATGGCCAAGAAACACATAAAGAAATGTTCACCATCCTTAGCCAACAGGGAAAGCAATTTAAAATGACTCTTCAATTCTAACTTGACCTGTGAGAATTGCTAAGAACAAAAGCCTAAGTAACAGTTCATGCTGAAGAGGAGGTGTAGTAAGAGGAACACAAGTCCATTTCCAGTGGGCATGAAAACTTGTATAGCCTATTTGAAAGTCAGTGTGGAGTTTTGTCTGAAAACTGGGAATCAATCTACCCAAAGACCCAACTATACCACTCATGAGCATATGCATAAAGGATGCTCAATGATACAAGGATATTTGCTCAACTATGTTCATAGCAACTTTATTCCTAATAGACAGAAAATGGAAACCTAGATATCTCTCAACCAAGGAATGATAAAAGAAAATGTGGCACATTTATACAATGGAGTGTTACTCAGCTGTTAAAAACAAGGACACCAGGAAATTTGGAAGCAAATAGATGGAACTGGAAAAAAATCATCCTGAGTGAGGTAACTCAGACAGAGAAAGATAAACATGGTGTGTACTCATGCATAAGTAGTTACAGGCAACAAAAGAAGAAGAAGGAGGAGGAGAAGGAGAAGGAGAAGGAGAAGGAGAAGGAGAAGGAGAAGAAGAAGAAGAAGAAGAAGAAGAAGAAGAAGAAGAAGAAGAAGAAGAAGAAGAAGAAGAGGAAGAAGAAGAAGAAGAAGAGGAAGAAGGAGGAGGAGGAGAAGAAGAAGAAGAAGAAGAAGAAGAAGAAGAAGAAGAAGAAGAAGAAGAAGAAGAAGAAGAATGCTGTGATTCAAAGACCCAGAGAGACTAGGTAATAAGGAAGATTCATGGGAGCTAGAGCAAGATATCAATGTAGAATGGAAATAGTAGAGAAGATGTGAGTGATCTGAGGGCAGATGTGGTTGGGGGAAAAAAGCTTGAGTGTGAAAGACAAACAACAACATCAAATGTTGAGCCTTAATTTCTAACTTGCTTGAGACAGAGTCTCTTTCTTCTTGTCCATCACTGTTTATGTCAGATTAGCTGGTCACAAGCTTCTGAGCATTCTCCTGTCTCCACCTCCCATGTCATAGAAGGAGCACTAGGGTAACAAAAAGAGATCGGATCACCATCTTTGAGTCCCACCTTAGGATTCAAACTCAGGTAATCATACATGCAAGGTAAATGCTTTCTACTGAACCATGACCTGAGCCCAGTTTTTAATCACAATAAACATCTTAACTCTGTTATGTATTGTGCAATTCACTTTCTCTCTATTACCTCTCTATAGATCATTTACACCTAGCTTTCAATAAAAATTCTGTCATATATTTGGCAATTCCCTTTCTCTCTACTAATTCTCTGTAGATCATTTACCCCCTGCTTTCAATCAAATCTCATATTGCTTGTATTCATGCATCCTTCTGCTCTGACCATGGTGTAAATCTTTACTTTTCTCCAGACATTATTCAGTAAGATCTTCAGGTAAGGTTGGACAATCCAAGTGTGCAATGGAGGCTGAGACATGTACAGAAAACCTTAGACCAAGAACAATGAATACACTGTGACTGTTGAGCACACATCACAGTAGCTCTAGGAATGTAAATGAGGCTTTGAGGTGAAGTTTTTCGGCTATGCCTGGAAGGTCTCTAGTTGTCTGGGTGTTGATAACTTGGGTGTTGAGGAGTCACTATTGAGAAGTGGTGGAAGCTTAGAGGTGGATGACAGAGTGAGGGGATCTCCCTCAGAAATGGTACTTTAGACTTCATGATAATAAAAAGTCCAAGCCTAGCCATTCTAAGACCTCTCTTGCTTACTGTATAGGATTGATTGTTTTTCCCTAAAACATGCCTCCCTCATTGCAGCCCACCAGGAGGATGTGACCATGTGCCAACAGGGGTAAAGCTGTGAGGGGATAGGTTTATGAATGAAAATGATTTACTCAGCTCACTATCTGTGTGTATGTGTCAAATGTCACATTGAATAGTGTAAATACTTGTTTGATTTTTCTTAGTAAAACTGTCTGCCATTTGCAGAAAAGTGAAAAGTATCAGGCAGACCTCACTTTCCTTCTTTATAATCAATTATTTCCTCTTCCTGTCACACAGTGTTATATGGATCATGGTTTGAGCATACTTTTGCCTGGCTATCCATGAGAGAAAGAGACAACTTCCTGCTACTGAGCTATGAAGACATAAAAAAGGTAATTGTCATTCCTACAGCAATAACAAAGCTTCTCATAAACTCACCCCAGCAGCACCCCTTATTTCTCAGGATCCCCATGTCAGGTTTAGGCACATGGAAAGTCAATGAAAGTGAAGATATGCCCTATGTCCTTAATTGACCTGCACCTGGGATTTTCTCTCTAGCCTTCTTATCCATCACCCCCATCTTTACCTTATTCACCCTCAGGAAGGGTGGGGTAGTTTACATTTGTGCTATAGGTTTTTTAATTCTGTCTATGAAACATATTTAATATACCTAACAATGTCCCTTGCACTGAAGAAGAGGGACAAAGGCAGGAAATCCATCTTTGAATCCTGAGAGAGCAAAAGAATTGAAATCACATAAATAGCACTTAGTGATACTCACATCTGACCAGGCATGTACAAGATTCAGCCAGTCAGGGAGGACTGTGTCCTGTGCTCTGCAGTATAGAGAGTTCTGTATGGGAAGCTAGAATACACTAGAGATTTCAAAACTCTTGGTAGAGAAAGTCTCAAATGTTTCAAAATTAAGTAATGACATATTTCTAAATAGACTGATAGTCCATACCATTAGTCAGAACATTACAGGTTCCATTTCATTCAAATGCTCCCACAGAATGATATAAATATGTTTAAGTATTTACATGTGTCTCAAATATCTCTTATTTTTAAAAATAAAAAAAATATCTTGGCAGGGTGTCACATGACTCTAAACCTAGGTGAAGACAGTTTCAAAGGTTCTAGATAATCCTTGTGTGTATGGTCTTTTTACATCAACCTTGGCTACAAGAGACAATGTTTCAAAAGACCATTAAGAAAAATTAGTGTTAAGTTCATTTATGTATTTTATTTTCATTTAATTAAAGAATACTCCCTCTAATGATGGACCCACACTAATGACACCAAGCATATGAGCAAAAAAATGTTCTCATATGATCTGCAAGTCAAAAGTTTAAGTAGTTTGGAAGTTACAAGTGAAAAATAAACATTATCTACATATTCAAATAAAGATATCATTGGTACTTTATACTGAACATGAAAAATTATACTGAGCATGCAGTCTGTCAGAGAAAACACTTGCCCATCCTTAAACCAATCCAAAATATTAGTTAAGGAGGAAAAGAAGCTGTGTTACAACCACTGTTGACCTTTTAGAGGTAGACTCTGGTGATTATGAAGGTTACTGAGAGTTGTAACTATTTGCTTTCATTTTCATTTCTCTTATTAAGTTTTTTAATGTTTAAAATAATTTTCAATTTAAATATATTTTGATCATATTCTTCCCTCTCATACTTTCTTCCAACTTTTCTACTCCTCCTTATGCACCCAGCCTTAAATACTTTCAAAAAAACAAACAAAATCCAAATCAAACAAAATTCTCCATGAAAGAAGACAAAATAAAACAATACACAAAAAGAAAAAATAAAACACTGAACTGTAGCCAAATAAAAGCTCCCCCCCACCAAAATGAAAAATAGAGTGGAGTCTATTATATGTTGGTCAACTCCTCCTGAACAAGAAGACTGCATTAGAGTGCTTGATATATCCAGTGTTGCTGCATTGAAGAAAACTGATTTTCCCTCTCCCAGATGGTAAAAATGAAAGTTGAACTGTTAAACTTTAGCTTAATGGACTCTTTTCTTTCTTTATTTCATTCATTCATTATTCATTCATTCATTCATTCATTCATTTATTCAATTTTAAAAAGTATAACAAAATAAAATGCAATATGATGAAACAATATTATCACCACAAAGTTGGACAAGATAAACTACTAGAAGGAAAACAGTACAAGAGAAGGCAAAAGCAGAGACTTCATATTTTCAAAGCTGACAAAAATCATCAAAGTGGAAGCCATAACTTATAAGCAGAGGATTGGTGCAGACTGGTGTGGCACTATGCATGCTGCTCTAGTCTGGGGGTTTATATTAGCATTTCTTTTTTTTTTTTTTTTTTTTTGTTTTTCGAGACAGGGTTTCTCTGTGTAGCTTTGCGCCTTTCCTGGAACTCACTTGGTAGCCCAGGCTGGCCTCGAACTCACAAAGATCCACCTGCCTCTGCCTCCCGAGTGCTGGGATTAAAGGCGTGCGCCACCACCGCCCGGCTATATTAGCATTTCTTATGTTGATGTAAAAGGTCTTGTTGTTTTTTTGTTGTAAAGAGATGGCCATTTGGGACACCATCTCCCTCATTATTAGGTTATACTATTTAAATCATCTTCATATGTATGATTTATATATGTATGTATATATTTATTTATACATACATATATTTATATATATATATATATATATATTTATATATATATATATATATATAAATCTCTCTTCTTTCCCCATCCACATTAGGTCCTACCATTCTAGTACTTACCTATTCATCCATTATTTGCCTTCAAAGTTTAGTTTTTTTTTGAATTTTTAATTTTATAATTATTACATGCTGAGGGGACATTCTTTCCTGATTCAATCAATTTGGTGTTCTGTATGCATCTTTCACTTTGATAGGCATCTCCTTCTTTAGGTTAGGAAAATTTTCTTCTATGATTGTGTTGAAGATATTTTCTGTGCCTTTGACCTGGCTTTTCTTCTTCTTCCACTATTCTTATTATTGATTTTATTATTTTCATAGTGGCCCAGATATCCTTAATGTTTTGTGACAGAATTTTCTTAGATTTAACATTTTCTCTGACAAATTTATACAGTTCTTTTATGTTGTCTTCAATGCATGAGATTCTCTCATCCTTTTCTTGTATTCTATTCATGAAGCTCACATTTGAGGTACCTGTCTGAGTTCCTAGGTTTTTTGTTTGCATTTCCTTCAATTTGGGATTTCATGATTTCCACTTTCAGGTCTTGAATTGTGTTCATTTCTTTCCACTACTTGTGTTTTCACAGATTTCTTCATGAGATTTATTCCTTTTTTTATTTAAAAACCTCATCTCCACACAGGCTATTTTAGGGTCCCTCCCTTCTACAATTTTGGTGGAATATTCAGGGCCTATTGTAGTGTGGTGCTGGGCTCTAGTGAAGCCATACTGTCCTGCATGCTATTCACTGTGATTTTATGGCATCTATGCACCTGGGATTGGGAAAACTGTAATTCTACATACTGATATCTGGTCTTGTCTTTGCTGAGTTGATGCTTTTTTCCTTATTTTCTGTTGCTCTTTCTGGTACTAAGGAAAATGTGGTGGCTGTGTGTTGTCTAGTAAGAAATTCTTCTGGGATCCTGAAAAGTATGTCCACTAGGAGTTTCAGATAAAATGTTTCCAGATATACAAATCTGACATACTGGAATGGAGATTATCTGAGAGGGGAGTATAAGCAGATCCATGGAAGAGATGAGTACAAAGTGTTCCACAAGGAGCTGCTTAGTCACCTGGGAATGGGACAACTGAGTGCAGTCAGACCACAGGAATGAGACTGAAGATCAGACTTGGAAGAATGGAAGGAGAGATGAAGATCTGCAATTAAACTACTTGCTTTCCTTGTTAGAGTGGCAAGTTGGTTCTTAGGTAGTGTCTTCTGGAGTTCAGTATTTGCTAGGACAAAGAAATGAGAAGGGAGAAGGAATTTTGTTTGTTAAAATCTGTGTTACCTATATGATACAGGGGCATATGGGAGAGAGGACTGCAGCAGGTGTTCTACACAGAGCTTGTAATGAGACTAAGAGACTGGATTTGGAGGAACAAATGGAGAGGCGAAGATTTTTATTTAGCTTAACTGCTTCCCTGCTCAGCTTGGTCTGTGGGTTCCTAGGGAATGTTTAAAGGAGTTCAGGTGTGGGACAAATCAACTCATTGTGATATTAATGTTAGGAGGGATCTGGGAGACCCATTAGAAATTTGGGTGGCTAAGGCAGGTGTTCTACTGCAGAGCTGGGGGAAAGACAGGGGATTGAACTCAAAGAATGAAGAGGGTGATTAGCTTACCTCTTCCCTGGCCACAGTGGTCTGTGGAATTGCATGGAGGGCATGTTGAAGTTGGATGTTCAGATAGTACTAAGAATTGGAGGAGTAAGGTTAGAAAACCTAGATGATGAGAGATGCCATAGATTATCTGTGACATAACTGGGGATGAGACAGGAGAATTGGATCTGAAGGAGCACAGGGAATGGTAAAAATCTGAAGTCAGCCTACCTTCTTCCCTGTCAGGTATTGTCAGAATCTTAAACAGTTTCATTAATAGAAAACTCTGAGCCAGATATTGTGGTAAAAACTGATATCAGAGAAGCAGAGAAAGCTGCAGCCAATCTCACCTAGCAAACACCTCAGCCATTCCTGGAATCCTCTGCTTCTTCACCCAAAAACCCTCAACCAAAAAGAGCCTTTAGTTCCTGTCTCTATATGCCTTATACATCTTTCTTCATGTTGCCATATCAATTATTGAGATTAAAGAAATGTGTGCTTCCCAAGCAAAGTCATGAGATCTTAGGTGCTGGGATTAAAGTTGTGTGCCACCAGTGTCTGGCTTTTTTTCTCCACTACACTGAGTCAATGTCATGTAGTTCAGGTTGCCCTTGAACTCACAGAGATGCTGACAGATCTCTGCCTCCAGAGTGCTTGTTAAAGTTTTATGCTACCACTTCCTGACCACTATGTCTGATCTAGAGGTTGGCTCTGTTCTCTGATCCTCAGGTGAGTTTGATTAGGGTGCACAATCTATCACATTTCCCACTTTTGTCTAAAATAATAGGAGATGATTATAACTCGTATAAGAAAAAGTAAATACAATATGTACAACAATTATATAATATATATATATATATATATATATATATATATAGAGAGAGAGAGAGAGAGAGAGTCAAGAATTACATTAGCAATGACCAGTCCATTAACATTTTACATATTCAGAGAAAATATTCATTATTTATCCTATTTTGGTGAGTTCAAAATATTGTACCTAAGCCACATCCTATCCTAACTTGTATTACCAAGCAAATATTATCTTTTGATGTATTTCAAACTTACATACTTTACAACTCTTTAGTGAGT